ACCCAGAGCAGCACTACCCCCTCAAGGCACAATGTAGGCCTCTGTGTTGAGCCTGAGGCCCTGTGGGAAGATGAATGGAGGCATAACATCGCCATCACTAATTATCAATCCAAACACCTTTGTAGTCACCATTAGACTCATCCAACTCTTTCCAAATCCTCTGCACTGTCCTCAGATTGACACCAAAACACTGAAATGTTTGTATTGGGGCTTCTGGCACAAATGCCAAGCAGTACAGCATACCATTTCAAGATTTCTGGCAGAGTAAATTGCATCATGATGTACTTTTTCTCACAGACAGGGACCAACCGACTCTACTGTGCATGCACAAAATTAATATAAGATGGCGACAATTTACCCATCGCACCCTTTCCTTCCTGGCCACCATTAAGCACTCATTATTTCAAGAGTTATCTAGACTAGTATTCTCAATGTTTCATCTTATTTCTGCCCATGAATGTATGTATGTATGCATACATGCATGCATGCATGCATACGTACATACAGTCTTAATGCCAACCCAATTCATCTTTTGAGGGTATGTTCCAAGGATGAAAATGTAACCATTTCAGAGAAAATCCAAGGCTCATTTTGCTTCATTGTGTACAGACTCAAAAAGCTTTACACTATGTGAGACTATATTGTCTGTCATGAACAGAAATGTGCAAATGACAATGTGTCTACTAAAAGACCAAGTGATCATGAATTTGAATTTTCATCACTTTCTAAGCACAACTTTTTCTTCTATGCACCGTGTCCCTTCACAATGTTAAGGATCATACCTCTCCATAATTTTCTGTTCTTTGTAGTTCTTAGTAAATTGTCTTTTTGTAATCTCTTAATTCCTGTTTTGCCATCCAGTTATGCAAGCTCATTAAGTAGGTTATGCACAGTTTTCCTCTTGCCTTGTGTCCTGTAAGTATCATTTTCCAAGCCCTCTTTTCTCATTATGTACCCCCAAAATTTCAACTCTTTCTGATGTTAAGTATATGTGTCCTTTCTGTTTCCATTTTCTCAAACTTTACAGTTGCTCACATGTTTAGCCCATGGTATTTCCAGCAACTTATTATTCTTAATCTTCTGTAGAACCACATTTCTGCTGCTTCAAGTCTCAGCTATGAAGAGATTGTCCAGCATTCACTGTCGTATAAGAGGACTGATATTATGTATGCAAAAGATGAGATTAGGTTGATTAATTTTACAACTTTCCAACACTTATTGGGTTATTTAATGCCAAAATCAATCTTATATTAAAGTCTAACCATTTACTTGTTTAAAGGAGAGATAAATATTGGTGGCCTATACTTGTGTCTGAAAGCATTTACTCAATATAGGGGGTGTGTGATATTAATCCTCTACAAGGGATGCAACCAGAATATTCAAGGCCTTGATAATAGAGTGACTAAAAGGATTGGAGGGTTTAATATGAAGTATATATATATATATATATATATATATATATATATATATATATATATATATATATATTTGTTACAAAAAAAAAAAAAAAAATACATAGGAGAAACCTCAAGGGATCTAAAAAAAATTATATGAACACAAAAGGGACATATTACAAAACTATATCTGAAATGCATTGGTTGCCTACCATAACAAGGCTGACCACAATTTTGACATAAAAAATTGCTACACTGATCAAAGGAGAAAAGAATTCACTACACTGAAAATGTTTAGAGAGTGCCTCGATCTCAAGGTCACCACAATAAACTTGTACCCTGGCTCTTACAAAAGTGATAAAAAGTAAAAGAATGTAAATGAAATCAGCTAGATAAAAAAAAAAAAATTCCCAGTGTCCTCCATTGGGCACATATGTAGCTGTACCAACGTAACAAATTTAGTTCAATAAGGTCCTAAAGAATGAAACATCACATAAATTTTTTCCACTGCCATACATTTTCTCCAATAATTATCGCACAAACTTTCATAACTAAATCAATAAGCTGTCAGATCCTCATACGTTGAAACCAACGGGAGAGTCCATTATTATATATATATATATATATATATATATATATATATATATATATATATATATATATATATATACGCACACAAGTACATTTGACATCAGAAACCTTTATTTTCATGTATCCTAAATCTAATAATTCACCAGTTATAGTGTTTTGTTTTGTTTTTTTTTTGCTAGAGTTTTCTCCATTGTGTATTATAATTCACTAGCCTAATTTTTATGCTAAGATAATCTTCAAATTTAAGAAATATAACCAAGAAACTGGAAGATATGTCATGTTCCACATTGTAAATAATTTATCACACAAAAAATAAAATAAAATAAAATAAAAAAAAAAAAAAATTTTAAATTTAAGACCTAACTGGAATCAGTAATTAGATATTTGATTGCCAAACTTTGCAGGTGTAGGGCACTGTGTTTTCTTAATATACAGTCAACACAGCATCCTACCAAATATGTGATACTTTTAACAGTAAAGCTATTTGATTATGTGAAATTTATATTCTAGCAGGATTTGGCTTCTGCACATAAAATTAATCACAGCTTGGTATATTGATCATTAGAGCAATGTACTACTTTCACCTAGTACCTCACTAGACTTGAATCACATTGAAAATTTATAGGGAATAGTTAATAGCCCAGCAATTGGGCAGTGCTCAATGTCTTTTGTAGACAATACTTAAGCAATACCATAAATTGATTTCTTTAATGCTGCAATATATTCAGATAATCACTGATGTCAAAGGAGTAGCAAACAAATACTAATACACAATTCAATCCCATTTTTTAATTTATAACCAATAACTTCAGTTATTTCAATATTATTTTTGAGATTACTGATTTTTAATAATCCTTCCATAGGAACAAATGTTTGATTACAACAAAGTATAATTCAGTTTAAGTCTAGTGAGACTAATACAATTGATATTTGGAAGTTCATATTCACATGACCAATTCTATCCTTTCTCAATATTCAGTCTTGTTTTTTTTTTTTATAACATTCCTGAAAAAAATAAAAATAAATAAATAAAAAAAAAAATAAAAATAAAAGGTTTCCTCTGATCATTTCTGAGATTATATATATGCATACACACGCAACATATTTCCAATATATATTGCAAAGTTAAAAGACCCAATTAGTGATTGAAAAATTATAAAACCGAGTCAACTTTTAATAAGTACACACACATATATATATATATATATATATATATTTTACACACACACTTGTTGAAAATGGAGTAATTTGTTTGAAACCTGAACACTAATGAATAACTATTAGATGAAATTTGTTTAGTTTAAGTAAAAATAAAACATGCAGTCTAATACTATGACCTTTCCAGTTGCTTTTCTTTAATTGCTACCATCAATTGGTCTGAGAGCAGTATTTGTTCAAATTACTTGTTTAGTTCTTGAGGAGCACATAGTAGAAAACTTACAATCTCATCACATATATAAAACATCAACTTGTTTGGATGAAGACCAGCCTTTGTTAGTAGTGGTTTATTTTGTTTGCCATACATCTTGTATTTTAGGTTATCCTAATGTAACTACTTTCCATCACACTTTATTAAAAAATTTTCATGATGTTTATTAATTAGTAAATAACACAGACATCTAGTCTGGTAGTTTTTTTTTGTTTTTGTTTTTTTCTTTTGTTATCTTCTACCCCACACAAAGATCTTTGTCCTTAACCAATTGAATTCTTTCCTTTAGCCAACAATAACTCAAAAGTAGAGTTACATTGAGACAATCTAACAGTTGCTCACATTTCAAAAGGTAGTTAACAATGCAGATAAATTAACACAAATATGTATCACTATGAAATGGACAAAGTCTGACAATTATTTTAATATATTTTATTGTTATACTTTATTTATATAGACACAAATATTTAAGTAAATGCTCTGTTTATAATAAATGGTATTAACATTTACCCACCTGAATGTCTGAGAAAATTTCTCAGACGTTTAGAACAGTAAATGTTGTTAGTACTGTTTATTATAAAAAGAGCATTTACTTAAATATTTATAAAATATATTAAAACAAATATATATTTGTATGTATCTTTCTAAAGGAAATCAGACAACTAACTTATGATGGAAATTTTTTTTTTAGAAGAATTATTATTATACCTTTCTATTTGATACAAACATGAATAAACTAGAGAGAATTTACCAATAGTAGATCCCTCCCACCAAGCATGGATAGCAAAACAAGAACACTATTCTCACAAATTGAATAAATGGTTCAGTTCAAAATTTCAAGTAGTTTATCAAATGCAACAGACACCTGAAGAAAGCCAGAATGGCTGAAACATTGTGAGTAACAACCAAGATGAATATACTATCAGTTCACAAAAGTTACAGCTAAGAAATGTCATGCCAATTCCACAGAGTCAAATCACTCATTTCCCCCAGATTCCATAGGAGTGAAACCCTCCTATTAATATCACACACCTCATTCAGCATTGCCATTTTAAGTGTAACCCTCTCTCTGGAGTGGCTCTCAAGCTTTGTATTAGATGAAATTTACATGTTTTTTTTAAAAAGACAGTGTAAATAATTTTCTAGTATTACTATTTACATTTTTCAGTCTGTTGTCATCTTTATAACCATATTCACAACATTTTGGCCATTGTAGGCACTGGTCTTCTTCAGGTGATATAAGTTGGAATTTCAAACTAAACCCTTTTTATTTAATCCATGGGGGTAGATTGTTGGAATAAGAACAATCTATTCCAGTGGACTAAATAAAAAGGTTTCAGTTCAAAATTCCAAGAAGAAAAAGAAGGCCAGAGTGTACAATGACCGAAATGTCATGAATGAGGACCACAGTCTGAATAATGTAAGTAGTGTAAACAGTTACAATACCTTATCTCAGAAATATAGACAGATGTAGAAAATTAATCTTAAAAAAAAAAAAAAAAAAAAAAAAAAAAATAAAATACTCTTAATTTGAGCAACATTGAATAATATCATCTGCATTTTTCAGTAAATAAATTTATACTTACATGAACATCAGAGATTTTCATCCTTTTGCCAGGAGCACCAACAAAGACATCATCAATATCAATAAGAACATAACGTTCTAATGGCAAACTCAGCTTTCCATGGGAAAGATACGACAAACTGTCCAAAAAGATGAGGCAATGTAGCCAGAATTTGAGTCCATTTCCAAAAATAACTTTTTGTATTCCATCTAGCATTCCCAAATCCTGGACAGCAGGATAAACAGTAGTTCCAGAAAGTTCAGAGTATGTCTCAAAAGTTTGTAGGCTGGCAGCTTTTGCAAAGGAAAGTGGCTTGTATGTCGAATGTTCAAAATGGAAAACTGCCCAATCATCATCCCGCAATGGTCCCTTGATTATCTCTCCTGGTCGTGTCACTCTCCAGATGTTGGAGAGCGGGTTCAGTTCATAATCTTCTATGGACATGTACTGGTGGACGGTGAGTGGGAAGTCCTTCATCTGTTTCGAATATACCACTTCATCTTTACTTGTCACAAATGAAATAATACCCACACCAAAATTGCGGCAATATTTATCAAGGAGTTCTCGATTCCATGCATCCATATTTACATAAGCATCAAAATTTTCAAATATCACAGCACTATATTTTCCTTTGTCTCCATGGGTCAAGTAAGGAAGAGTCTTGCCATTTGGCTCAATTTTGTACTTGACCCGAATAGCCTCAAGCAGATGGATAATTTCTTGCCCAAGACGTGAGTACTGCGTTTCAACAATGACAAGCACTTTGTTATCAATGCGTCTATTGTTGCCTGTAGAATGATCACTTGGACTATAAAATCCACCAGTTACAGAATTGAATCTGCATTCAATTGTTGACTGAGGAATTTCATGTTGAGATTCAGATGAGCGGACAGTGATCACTCGGTAGGTCAGCAGGATCAAGGTCGTCAAACAAATGATAAGTGCCATCAAGAATGTCTTTGTAAATGAACATTTTCGAAAATGGCTCTTCCATAAGAGACTACTCCTAAGCCAGACGAAACAACGTCTGGCATGCATTTTATATTTTTCAGATATATATATATTTTTTTTTAATTTTAACTTTTTTTAATCCACTGTTCTAGAAACAGCTATTTCCTCTTGATCCAGTCAGTTACTTGACTCAGCTTCTGAAGCTGGTAAGTGTCTTTCAAGGTGGTTGCCAATGCAGCATTAAAGGCATCCTGTACCAGTCCACAGTAAAGAAGATGGATGCCTCGTATTATACTTCATGCTTCTGATGCAATGCAAATAGAACAATCCCATAACCATCCACTTAGATTAACCAGAAACTCTAGCCAAGTGGAATATTCATAAATTTTTCCAAAGTTTTTGAATATAGCTTAAATCCACATATTTCAATTCATCCATGTTTTTTCTGTATTTTTTCTTGATCCAATATGTTGTATTTAGTAGAAATACGAAATAGCAATCAGTGTTCTTGTAGAATCTGTGGGAGGAAAAAAAAAGGAAAATATTTACTCAAAATTTTGAATAACCAATCATTTAACAATAGAAGCTGATAAATTAATGATGCATTTGGGGATACAAAAATCCATATATTGAGATGTGATAAAATACAAGGAGGGTTCTCTAACAAGTTAAACTTACAAACATGTGGACACAATTGTCTTACAACAGGGAAGAAATTTTTTAAATATAGAAAATCCTTCTAAAAGAATTTTTTTTTTTTTTAGTGAAGGAGTTTTTAATTTTTTAATGCAAACTTTTCTTATCCAACATTACTAAGAGATTTTAAAATACTGCACAGAACTTGCTTCATATAATCTTCCCTTTCCAGCAATAGACAATTAACTGACAGAAGAAACAAATTTATGAATAATAAAGATAAGAACAATTTATCAGCAAAGAGGAAGCACCATAAAAATGTTAATTTATATCACATGGAATTTGAATATTTTAAAACCTCTTGCTACCTTTACCGTCTTCAAAGTTCTTTTACTCTAAAACAGTCTCAATGGCAACATAGCAATTAAGTAATAACCAAACTATTCAGTGAGATCAAAACATCACAAAGACCCTGCTCAACCTATGAAAACATGATGAAAAAGATTATGTGAGTTTTTAGGCACCATGTGAAATTTTATTTGGACTAACTGCAAAACAGCATCTTTATGGGCAAATGATAAAAATAGTGCTACATCTCATTTATTTCCAGACCATATTTTATCAAAACATTAAATACTTTCGAAACAATAACTTTATAGCATCTATAAATGGCTACTTGAGAAAACCAGTCCTCTATAGTGAAAACCAGTCAATTACAAATTTGCAGAAGAGGAACATTTTTGTTTAATTACATATCTGGAGTGGAGGTAAACTTGAAAAAAAAAACAAAAAAAAAAACAAAAAAAACAATGAAAATCTTATAAATAAGATCTGAATATTAAAAGAAAAAGTCAAACAAATTAATTAAAAAACTGGACCCCAAACCATAACTAAAACTGTTTATTTTGGTCTATAACTAAGAAAAATGGCTATTTTTCATGACAAAATAAATAAATAAATAAATGAATAATAATAATAATAATTGTATCTTAAATTATTTATCATTAAAGTAGACTTATTTAGAAACAAGTTGGATTCACAGCATTGCTTGAGAAATAGAAGCAGTTTGCTAACAATTTGGCTAAGAGAAAAATAATTTAAAATTTACCCGAATTTATCAGTTCCTGGGAACAGATTTTACAGAAATTTTATTTTTCATGCATGGGAACACTGGATGTCTGAATGATCCATGAATTAATATATTTCTTTCTTTCTTAAATAGTGTTTAAGAGACTTCAGTTCACTCAAATTAAGTCTTCTTGTTCATTGATGTATATATTTAGCATGAATTAAACCATAGTGTTAAAATAACAAGCACAATAAGGACATAATTTCCTTACATCATTACCAAATTACCATTTTATTCATGAGTATTTTTAGAAAGTAAACTTTGAATATTAACATCAAAATTCAATTTCTGAATTAAAATTTCAAGATCACTACCAAGGACTGATTTTTAATAACCATCAAATCGAATGCTTATTTAAATTGAAAATATAAAAAACAAATGACCTATATTTTTAGTTTAAATGCCTCCTATTATTACTTGAAATAAATCTTGAAAAACTTAATTCAAATTCTGATTTAATTGAAAATTTCAGACCATTACCAGAAGTCATTTATCTTGCCTATACGTTATCAACTGGTTCTGAATATGTAATCATATCCTTTGATCTAGATTTGTATATAAATGGTAGTTGAATGACAAACATTTTAATCTTGTTTTCATTCTTTTAGTTAAATAGATTCACATTATATAGGTTTAATTAACCCAGAAGAATTAAAATTTCTCTTAGAATTTTATATTGAAAATAGATGAAGTTCATAAGTCTTCTGAAGTCAGTTTAATATGATTTATTTACCTGAAATAAGACATAGGAAGAAAAAAATTGAGTACCAAGCTATTTAAAATTTTCATACTATTCCCAGGCATTTCTCTTTCATATCACTCAATTGTTTACTTTACATTTTTTTTTTTTTTTTTGGTGGAGATACTATTTAATGTTAAAGTAGATTTACATTTGGCCTAAAATTTAACAATCAATGTCTCCACCTCCCTTGAAAAGTAACTATTTTCCATCATTTGCTTGCCTTATAACATGCTGAATTTAAATTATTACAGAATTTCAGTAATTTACATTTTAAGGTTAAGAAATAATTTACCCTAGTTTGGGTCTTTTATTAGTTACATTTTTTTCATATTTACTCTTCTGCTTAAACAGTGCTTCTTTTCTTTCTAGTTTTCATTTATCTTGTTTGTGTCTGCTGTATAACTTTTTGGTTATTTCACCTAAAACCTGGAAATAAATTGCTCACTTTCCCTAATACCAAGATAATCAGACTAATGGACTAATCAGTGTTGTGGATATACTGCAATTTAAATAAATTACAACACCGAGATATGTACATAATCTAAATAAATGGTACAAAAGCCACCCCCATATGATGCCAATTCAAAATATTATTTTTTTTTTTTATATATATATATATATATATATATATATATATATATATATATATATATTAGTTTTATAGGCTTAAATGTTAGAGTTCATGAGAAAATACTGGACAGACAAACACCCACCTACAAACAAATTTCTAACCAGGCCCCAGAAAAATATTACAAGGAATGCAAATTAAAGATTTGTTTTCGAAAAGCACTGAAAGAAGAAATAATGAAAAGCACTAAAATATTTCAAGGAAAAGAGACAAACCAATTAGTACTCATTGTAGTCTGATAATTAAATTAACAGTATTCAAGATCTTTTCCCCGCTCTCAGCTTCATACTCTATATATGACAAAGTAGAACAACGACCCCCCCACACACACACACAAAATTCTTTAATTCAGAATTCCCAGCATCTCTTGTTTGTGTGCATGTATAGTTGCACCAACAGATTTAGTCCAATGAAGTCCTAAAGGACAAAATGTGTCAAACAAAAACTCCCTACCACCTTGTCATTTTTCTTTAGATTTTATATATAGATATATATATATATATATATATATATATATATATGTGTATATATATATATCCAAAGAACAGCAATGAAAAATATTTCTTGAAGTTTTTATTTTAGTTTTAATTTCATGCTAATAGATTACATTTAATATTTACAATTTATGCAAAATACTTTGGTGTATTTCAAACCCAATTTAAATTGTTTGAAATTTAAAAAAACTTTATTTGAAAATCCTGATTTTTTTTTTTTTTTTTAAGTACCCAGTAATCTTAAAAAAAATATTCTATGTAATCTATTTTATCGAATTTTAGGATTGGCTTCATAATCTTACTTATGAAGGAAATGTTAGAAAATTATTAATAAATTTAAGATTTACTATAGTTTCCACACTCATTTTCTGATGTCATGTATGGATACTCATATTTACAAAAAGAAAAAAAATTTCAAAATTCTTTTTAAAATAAGGTAGAGGGGGTCAGTAAATAGTAAGCTTTTCCATTTATGATTAGTAAATATAGTTTTTACTTAATATCAACTGCTACAAATTAATACAAAACTAAGATTTAAAACGTTATAAATTATTATAAATCAAAATTTTTTAAAAAATACATTTCTTGTAAAAAATTAATTATTCTTTGAAAAAATACATTTTTTTCTTGTTTTATATCTTATTCAGAAAAGTAATTAAAAGCTTTCCTAATTAAATAATGTCTTAGTTTATTTCTCAAAATTTCATAAAATTAAATAAGTGGGTAAAAGAAAAAATATATTTACCAAGAAAAAAAAAAAATTTTTTAAATAATTTAATTCATTTGTGAACAAATCCTGAAAGTTTCATTAAAATCCAACAATAATCTGATTTTGCAAGAATTTCCAAATCAATGTGTTTTGCACTGGAAAAAGACACTAAAATTCCCTATACTAATTTATGGTCACCTGTTGTCGCAACCAAAATTTTGAAAGTAATAAAAAAGGATTAAAGGATATAATTTAATAATCAAAAGATCCTTTGGTTTTTCCTCTTAATAACAACAAAGATCTTGATAAAACTGTTTTTATTAAGTTTGAGGCATTTATTTTTCATCAGGGTATACTCATTTTTTGTAAATCTTTGGAAGTACTGAATATATAAATAAATAATGTGCATGTGTGAATGTGAATTGCCAAAATCCTTAATAACAGTTGCTTGGTAAATAAAAAAAAAAAAAAAAAAAAAAAAAAAATCAGGATTTCTACATTTCAACGGTTAGAGGAAAACAAGCACCATCCACACTTATACCCCACTTTTCCTTGACCTGTACATTCACTTTATAAAGCAGATAAAGGAAAATCACAAACATTATTATTAAATATCTTAAAATAAAATATCATATTTTACATATAACAATTCACAATACAATTTCTCCCCAGTTTCCATACTCTATTTTCTAACAGAACGAATCAATTTGAAAACAAACAAAACATAGTTAAATTGAGAGTGGGAAGAAATTGAGATTGCAGTGGGGGCAGAGAGTGGGAAAACAAAGTAGGGATGATTTGTGGTGAAGAGTAAGCTTGCTGGATAGACAGGAACATTAAAAAAAAAAATAAAAAAAAAAAAATAAAAAAAAAAAATCAATAAATGACAAGAAACTCAGTAAATGGTTACACTTTTTTACATTTTATTTGTCTGTGACTTGATTTATTAAATAAAAAAAAATGTTTGATACTGTGTATTAAATCAAGGTTTTTCAGAGCATTGGGCAGGTGAAGAGACAAAAAAGATCACAATAGTAAACATATTTGTTTACATTTGTAGAGATTTCTCTTTCTCTTCTACTTACCAAACTTTTGATTTCAGGAAAAAAAATTAAGAGGGTGTTACTATATTTTGTTTATGAGCAAAATTTCTTTATAAGCAAATGTCACCTGATTACA